TACATGCTTTTACACATTGGAACACTATGTACCGAGTGAATCCTGCCTTATTCAGACAATGTTGATACAAAAGCTACACTCTCTTTTAGTATTTTTATTACTAGTGCCTCGACTAAAATAAAATTCTAGGATTTAAAATGGCCTCGTGGAAAGTTATCTTCTTAGACTTAAATAAGGGGTAAGGTTAGTCTGAGAGTTATGCGAGTTCTAAATTTTAGAGCAACAGGGAAAAAATAATTATTCTTAGTAATAACTTTTGGACTAATACCATTACCTTGGAAATGCTCACTATGACACTCAAAATGCAAATGGACAATCTTCATTATAAAAATACACTTTTATTCCTATTCCCCCAAAAGGCAATGCAACCGAGTGTGAAAATTGTCAAACAGTATCACTAATATCAGATGCAAGCAAAATCTTGCTAAGGATAATTAAACAAACAAACCAAAAAAACCCCCACAACCCCAACTAGAACAGTACATCAATAGAGAAATTCCAGAAATACAATTTGGGTTTAGAAGAGACCAGGGCACTAGGGATATTATTGCCAATGTCAGATGGATCTTGGAAGAAAGGAGACAGTGCCAGAAAAAATAACTATTTGTGTTGTATTGACTATGCAAAGGCATTTGATCTGTGCATCACAAAAAGTTGTGGCTGACATTGAGAAGAATGGGAATCCCAGAACACTTGATTGTGCTCATGTGAAACCTATACTTAGACCAGGAAGCTATTGTCTGAACAGAGGAATATGTCAGGGATGGCATCCTATTTCTGTATGTTTTCAATCTTATGTGGAATTGAGCATTCAGAAGACTGGACTTAATGAAGAGAATGTGGCATCAATTGAATGAAGACTCATCAACAACCTACGTATCAACAACTTATTATGTAGATGACACAATCCTAGTTGCTCAATCTGAGGAGGATTTGGAGTGTTTGGTACAGAAGATTACATGCAGTCTTCAACATGGATTGCATTTCAACATTAAGAAAACAAAGATTTTCACCACTGGGCCAATTGGTAACATCATAAGTGGAGAAGAGATTGAGGTTGTTAACAATTTCATCTTACTTGTATCCACAATCAACACTTTTGGTTTTCAGAAAATCAAAAGATAAGTTGCTTTAGGAAAGTTTACTGTTAGGAGTAGTACCTCTGAAGAGTACTAATGAGTAACGATGACAGTCTAAAGACTAAGGTGAGCCTGATCCATGTCATGACCTTCTCAATTGCTTACTTTGTATCTCAGAACAGTACAATGACTAAGGATGACAGAAGTAAAAATGATGCCTTTGAGTTACGCTACTGAAGAAGAATATTGAACATACCATGAACTGCCAAAGAAACAAACAAGTCTGTTCTGGAGAGGTTGAAGTCGGGTTGCTCCTTGGAGGCAAGGATTTTGAAACCCCGGCTCACATACCTTAGGCATGTTGGAAGGATGGACAGTGCTGGGAGAAAATTAGAGGGCCAGTGCAAAGGAGGAAGAACCTAGACAGGATAGACAGACACAGAGACTTTGGCAAAAGGACCAGATGTGTCAGAAACACTGAAACTGGCTCTGGATAGGGCAGAGTTCAGAGATATTTTTCATAAGATCATAGTCATAGTCAAGTTGATGACATATAACAACAAATAACAATAACAAAAAAAAGGCAGTTTCTGGTCTTACAGATTCCTCCAACTTTGGGGAGGGAGCTCTGCTGGCCTAGAGGATAAAAGAGCTGTGTGGTAGGACCATGGCTTGGGATTCAAATCCACCAGTTGTTCCAAGGGAGAAAGATGGGCAGTCTTGTCCAGCATGATTTACAGCCTCTAAAAACTAGATTGAGGGTTAGCTATGGGTCTGTCCCAACTCAACAGTACATAACATCTAATTAACCTGTTTATTAATCTTTCTTTTCTTCTGGTGGCTACAGGCCTTTTTCTTCTCTTTTCCCATGTATTCACATTGTAGCGTGACAGAACTCATTGGGGTTCTTTCTTTTCTGAGGTATTTCTCTTGATGTCTGTGTCCTGCTTTTCCATGGACACAAAGGGTTTTGTGAATTGTGTTTACATTCCCATTTAATTCTGGGAATTTCCCAACTTCATGACCCAGTGGTTCACCATTCATGCTCCCTCTGTGCCACCTGCACGCTGTGAGTTTGTATGTGGGCAATGAGGTGCAAGGACTGCCTGAAGCCCTTGCTACAGTCTTTGCACTGGTAAAGCCTCTCCCAGCTGTGAACCAGGAGGTGCTTGGTGCGGGCAGAGGAGTCTCCAAAGGCCTTCCACACTACCTGCATGGGAAAGCCATTCCCCGCTGTGCATCTGTCTGTGTGAACTGAGGACAGAGGAGTCACGGAAAGATTTCCATCACTGCTTACACGCTGTGAGTTTTCCTGTGTCTGGCGAGCACTGAGGAGTGCCTGAACGCTTTGCCGCACTCCTCACAGGTGAACGGCCTCTCCCCACTGTGCGTCCGTCTGTGTGAGGTGAGGGTGGAGGAGCAGGTAAAGGATTTCCCACACTCCTGGCACGAGTAGGGTCTCTCTCCGCTGTGTGTTCTCCTGTGTCTCCTGAGGTGGGAGGAGCGGCTGAAGGTTTTGCCGCACTCCTGGCACATGTATGGCCTCTCCCCGCTGTGTGTACTCCTGTGCATCCTGAGGTGGGAGGAGCAGATGAAGGTCTTCCCACACTGCTCACACGTGTAGGGCCAGTCCCCGCTATGCATCTGTGTGTGCTTGTTGAGGGCTAAGGGATCGCTGAAGGATTTCCCGCACTGCTTGCATGCATACGGTCTCTCCCCAATGTGAGTTCTCTTGTGCTTTTTGAGTACTGAGGAGTACGTGAATGCTTTGCCGCACTCCTTACAGGCAAACGGCCTCTCCCCACTGTGTGTCCGTCTGTGCGAGGTGAGGCTAGAGGAGCAGGTGTAGGTTTTCCCACATTCCAGGCACGAGTACGGCCGTTCCCCACTGTGAGTCCTCCTGTGTATCCTGAGGTGTGATGAGAGCATGAAGGTTTTCCCACACTCGTCACACGTGTAGGGCCGCTCGCCAGTGTGCGTCTGTGCGTGCTTCTTGAGGGACGAGAATTCAATAAAGGACTTCCAGCACTGCTTGCACACATACGGCCTCTCCCCGCTGTGGGTTCTCCCGTGTCTCCTGAGGTGTGAAGAGCGGCTGAAGGTTTTCCCACACTCCTCACACACATATGGCCTCTCCCCACTGTGCGTCCGCATGTGCTCGCCAAGGGCCGAGGAGTCGCTGAAAGATTTCCAGCACTGCTCACACGTGTATGGCTTCTCCCCGCTGTGAGTTCTCTTGTGCTTGTTGAGTGCTGAGGGGTACCTGAACGCTTTGCCACACTCCTGACAGGCCAACAGCCTCTCCCCAGTGTGCCTCTGTCTGTGTGAGGTGAGGTGGGAGGAGCAGGTAAAGGTCTTCCCACACTCCTGACAGTGGTAGGGCCTCTCCCCACTGTGCATCTGTGTGCGCTTTTTGAGGGCTGAGGAGAGGCTGAAGGTTTTCCCGCATTCCTTGAAGGCATATGGCCTTTCCCCACTGTGTGCCCGCATATGCTCACTGAGGGCGGAGGAATCGCTGAAAGATTTCCAGCACTGCTCACACACACACGGCCTCTTCCTGCTGTGAGTTCTCCTGTGCTTGGTGAGCGCCGAGGGGAACCTGAATGCTTTGCCGCACTCCGTACAGGCCAAGGGCCTCTTCCCAGTGTGCCTCTGTATATGTAAAGTGAGGTAGGAGGCCAGACTGTAGAGATCTTTCCTGAACCTGGAGCATCCAAGCCACTGCAGACCCGGGAGTGCAGCCACCACGGGATCCTTCAGGGCTGACGTACACAAGAACTCCTTCCCACACACCTTGCACCGGTGGGGTTTTTTCACAGCCAGAAGACTCAGGGCACTGTCAAGGACAGAGGGACAGTTGCAGGCTTCGCCACAGTCTGCACAATGACACACTGGGCAGCTGGTGTGTAATCGGGTCTGATGAGTGTGGGGTGAGAGGTCGGAGAAGACGCCTCCACACTCACAGCACTTCAAGAGATTCTTGTCTGGGGGTCTGCTCTGCAGCACAGGAAAAGGGGGCATCTGGCCAGACATCATCCCACAGCTGAAGTCTTTGCTATTCATCCCTAGCTTCTCTTCTCCATGGTGACTGTTAAAAAGAGGAAACATACTGTAGGGGGAGGAAAAACAAGAATTCCCATTTCACTGTTAGTAAATGCACTGAAAGGACAAGGTTTCTGTCTTAAATTTTAGCGTTTCAGAGCTTAGATTATCTATGGGGGAAAAGTACACCTGTTCTATTATCTTTCTTCCAAACTATGGGAATTTATGGTAACTGTGTTGAAGTGAAATATGCTTTAAATACTGCAGATGTGGTTGGCATTGATTAAAAAGGTTGTACTAGGAACAGGAGAGATTCAATGGGGACTCTAGAAATGATTAGGCACAGATCCACAGTAATAATAAGCATAGATTAGTTGTAACTAGTCATCTAAAATATACTGTGTGTAGGATGCTTGGTTGCCTAGTGGCAAGAAGCTGTGCTGTAATCCCAAAGGCAAGCAAGCCCAAGACCCTTGCAACATCTCTTTTACAACACACACAGAGGCAGTGAGTGGAGAGACAGTGTGTAGAGAGACGGTGTGCAGGAGAACCCAGGACACCATGAAATCAGAAGCAGGACTGGGATGAGTGACTGGGACCAGGGTTCCTGCACTGAGGATTCCTCAACGTTGGGGAAGGCCAAGATACACAATCCCGAAGGAATGCTGGGCCCAAGGAAACCTGGCCTTTCCTGTAGAGCCATCAGGAGAAAGCCTTCCCCAAGACACACCAACTGAATCTGGACTTCTAGCTTCCTGAACAGTGGAAGGATTCACTTGTACTTGTGAAAGGCATTCATTGACTGGAGTGGTGACTAGCATCGGTCAGCACTGCTGCTCTTAGGTGCCTTCAAGTTACAGGTCTGAGCCCCGACCTGTCCTGCACCGTCCTCACCATCTCTGAAATGCTCCAGCCCCAAGTAAGCAAGACAGCCTCAGAGTTTGTTTTTAGTAAGAAACATGCAACTTGGTCCCTTGCAAAATGCTGACCAGCCCTGATGCATGGTCTCTGATGCCATCTCACGTGGGTCTAGACAGTTTCAGGAGCCTGAGGTGGTTGCACGCACAGGTGTATGTACACTGATGTATTCAAGAGTGTACTGTGACACTACTGAACCTGGAGGCTTTTGCCTGAGGTACTGGCTGCCTCTGCTTGAGGGACACTCACCTGGCACGTCCTTCTTGGATTTCACAGTGACTGCTACGCTCCTGCGCCCTGGAGAGTCCCCCAAACACAGATGAGCAGGTGTTACTGTTCATGAATGGCCCCAGAACACACTCATTGGATACATTTTCTCCTTCATGGACATTTGCAGGGTCGGATCCCAAAACTGCAGCTGAGGTTCATAATAGGAAACAAAACAGAAGGAATTATCAAGGTGGGGGCCTACAGGAAGAATGCAGTTATTTCAGTAGATTTAATTTAGCACACTGAAAGGCAGCTAACCGATATGAGGACTGAGAGATGGAGACAAGGTGTGAGGTGCTATCAAACCGAGCACGACTTACAATAACCCTATGAGAAGCACACCTGAGCCCTGCCCTGCCCTGTCCTCACCCTGACAGGCTCCAGCCCATGGCTCCAGTCCCTGTGTCAATCCATCATGGACAATCATCCTGTCTGTGACACTCCACCTTTCCCAGCATGACATCCTTCTCCAAGGACTGGCCCCCTCCTGACCACACGCCCTCTGTATGTGAGGCCAAGTCTCCCATGCTTCGTCTGAGGAGCACCCTGGTTGCACCTGCTGTTACTGTTGGGAGGTGCTGCTGAGTCAAGCCCAACTCTCAGCAACCCTATAAACAAGACCTCTGAACCCTGTCTTATCCTGCATCATCATCCTCATCCCTGATGTGACCCACATTCACTGCTACAGTCACTGGGCCAAATCCTTCTTGTGAAGGGTCTTCCTCTCTTTCTCTGACTTTCTACCTTTCCAAGCATGATGTCCCTCTCCAAGGAACAGCCTCTAACAACATGCCCAAAGTAAGTGAGAGGGAGCTTCAATATCCATGCCTCCAAGGAGCATTCTGGCTGCACTTTCTCCAAGACATAGCGGTTGGTTCTCTTGGCAGCCCACTGGCTATTCAGTGGTGTGCACGGTTGTAATGGAAAGAGCTAAGCAGAATGACAGAACTAGACCCCAAACACACATAACAGTCAAATAAGAAATGACACAAAACACTAAATGAGAAATGGGTCCCTCCCCACGACCTGAGGTTCAGAGGACTCAGAAAAACAATCTCAGGTGTCTGTCAAGTTTTCTCCTTGACCAAAAAAAAATATATTGTTTTCTTTTGGACTGATTCAAATATAATTCCCGCCACACAAGACTCAAGTTCAAATTCACCGCCATTAAGTGGATCCTGACTCAGAGCACCCCTTTATTGGATTTCTGAGGCTGTAAGTATCAATAAGAGGGGATTGCCCATCTTTCTCCCTTGGGGTGGATTTGAACCACCAGCCACTTGGAGCCTTTCAGTTACCAGGCAACACACTGAGGAGTAGCCACCAGATTTCGGGCAGGGCTGGTCTTTAAAAAAAAAGTCTGTTTTAAGGAGCTCTGGTGGCCTCGTGACAAGAAGCTGCACTGCAATCCCAGAGGTGTGCAGTCTGAATCTACCAGATGCTCTGCTGTAGGAGGAGGCACAATCTCTCCCTGTACCAGTCAGATCTGATTTGACAGTACATGCACAGAATAATAAAATAAAATAAATGTTTAAAAAAAAGTTTTGTTTCTGGTACACCATGACACACAGGCCCTAAATGTCCCCCCCTCTCTACCATCATGGGACATTTCTACAGCTTCTCTGAGAAAACAAAGGGGCCCAGCTACGAAGAGACTCCCTCTTGAGTGAGGTCAATGGCAAGGAACATTTCCCTGAGTTCGCACAACTGTGCCATTCTGGGTCTCTGCAGAGGGACAGGAATTACATTTATCAAACCAGGGTGCTCCCCAGAGGCAAGCATGGGGAGACTTGGTCTCACGTACTTTGGGCATGCTGTCAAGAAGGGCTAGTCCTTGGGAAAACACATCATGCTGGTAAAGGTGGACGGTCAGAGTGAGAGAGAGAGAGGAAGGCCCTGGATGAGATGGACTCACACAGTGACTGTGACAATGGTGTGTCACAGACGGTGAAGCTGGCTCAGGAGAATGCAAAGTTCTGAACTGTTATTCATAGGGTTGCTGTGGGTCAAAGTCAACTCGACAGCACGTAACACAAGCAGCAAAATGACTCAAAACAATAACAGCAAAATAATCATGTCACACTGATAATAAACAGTCAACTCCCTACAAGATTGCAAGTCACTAAGCCTCTGATGCCCCCGACAGGGGATGCTGTATAGCACTTACAGAGCTTCAGGGGTTTTCATCACAACAGGAAGGAACACTCATCGAATGCAGACAGCTCTTTGGTCGTGGGGAATCCAGTAAATGTGAGCACTACAGACCAGAGGTGGTGGCCTAGTGGTAAGGAACTTGCCGCCAAAAGAAAGTTAAGGGGTTCAAATAATCAACTGGCTGCTCAGCGGGAGAAAGATGGGCGATCTCCTCTAGTGTGATATGCTGACTCTGAAAATCCCCTGCAAGGTGAGAGTCAGAGAACAGCTCCAATGGCCGGTAACCAACAACATCATGGAGCAAAGGATCACAGCCATTTATCAAACCGTTCATTTCCCATCCTCGTCCCACAGGGAGGAGCTGTGCTGTGGAGTGGAATCTTGCTCTTCACTAAAGAGCCACAGGAAGAAGGAACAGACACCGATCTTACCCACGAAAGCCAGGTTATTCAAGGTCTCCATCATCACATCTCTGTAGAGGTGCTTCTGAGCAAGGTCCAGCAAGGGCCACTCTTCCAGGCTGAAGACCACAATCACATCCTCCATAGCCACAGGGTCCTAAAACAAAACACCCATTTGGGATCTGCAAGGGTACATGAACGTCAGCGTGAACAAGGACACAGGGTGACAGACAGGCCCAAGAGATGGGAACTCACAGGCATCTGACACAACAGGCTGGGTTCTACTACGAGCTGCCACAGGGGATGGTCCCCAGCCTGTCCCCTCGTCAGCTACAATCACTTCCCCACAGATCACATCCTGGATACTCCCAACACACAGAGATCAATGCCATGTTGTGTGACTACACTAAATGGTAGTCTTATTATTCCCTCCACCCTGCAAGCTGCCCTCCAAGGGACCTTATTATTCACTCTTCAGAGTCTAAAACAGTCACAAAACAGCAGAATTGAAGAAAAATGCTCTGATTCAGGTAATAGATTCTGATCTTATTTATCTACTGCTTCTATGTCAGGAAAGAGCATGAGTGGTTATCAAGCTAGAAACTGTACAACAGAATTTTACAAGGCCTAAATTATTGAGGAGCAATGATAGTAGTTTAAGGACTGAGGTGCACCTGATTCAGGCCACGGTCTTTTCATTCACTT